CGTCGCAACCGTGTTGTGGTTGTCGTACCCAATGGAGTTGTGCCTTATTGTCATATACCCATTGAGAGGTTTACAATTATTACCAAACTATTCCTGAGGGTTCGAAGCAGGGTCTCGCAGACGTAAGTCTCTCAGACCCTCACCCGATTTTTTACTTTGACTGTAGTCATTTTTTTGATACCCGATTTCGGCAGGTTGGGGTGTGGCCTGCTATTCTTTTCTGAGATAATTGATCTGATACGCTATATAGCAAACAGAGAAAAAAAAAGTCAAGTCACACAATACACTACACCCATTCAATCTCCCCTCCCTGTCCTCAAACATTGTCGGCCGCCTTCGAAACGCGACTCGCAACACGCCTTGATTGGCAGTTGGACATAACGCCACGTGGGGGCGGCGAGGGAAGACGCGGTCGTAACTCGACGAGTGCACCCAATTCGTAGAATACGAGAATGTCGGGACAATGCAGATGCCCGGTTATTCAAGACTAAATGTTTAGGTTGTAGAATGCGCATGATTATTCCACCCTTTCGCTGTCGGATATAGTTCATTGTCGCTGTCATGAGGAAGGCGACCAATGAGCAGTCAAGGCCCTACTCTGCTTCTCAGGATTGATGAATAGGCAGTGATTCGAGTGATTCGCGTATGGCCTTGGCATTTTGGTTTGGACATGACTGTGGCAGAGCAGCACACGTGACACTGCGAGAGCGCGGTCAACGCGTGAACGCGTTCTGCGCGTCCAATGGGAAGAACGTATTCTACGCGTCCAACGGCGAGGATGCACGAAACGCGTGCAACAGTCAGAATCGATTACTGTCGATTGGCTGCAGGTGAGAAGTTGTGGCAGTGCCCCTCCTTGTGTTCGGTGCTAGACCTCGATTCTTTCTAGTGCACCCAGCACTTCCCCAATGAGACAGTGACGTCGCACCCTTCCACACCACCAGTTTCCTTCCGCCTCTTCAGCACAACCCTTTGTATATAACTGCTGCTCCCAAAACGTCCAGCATACCTTGCCATATTGTTTACCCGTCTCTTCACTTCTATCACTATAACCACATCACCCGCGTATTTCTGACAAGCAAGCCTTGCCAGGATACTCCGTTACTTGTTGTGTTCCATCCCCACCTAGCATATATGTTCGACCTATCTCAGGTCAATAGAAAGTAACAGTCCACATACTGCTTTCAGACAAAATATGCTTCTCCAGCTTTCCCTCTGCCTCGTTGCCCTCACATACTGCCCTATAAGCGCACACGCTAGCCCCATCCCCCCCGTGTTTCAGCGCAAGCGACACCTCCTCGAGAGTTCGCCTGTCGAATCACAACATAGCCTATCTGTGGAGGCCATCATTGGTATAGCCGCCATAGCCGTAGCCATATTGGGAATAGCGCTTCCTCTCCTTTGGCCTAGCGTGAGATCCTGGCGTAACTCATGGCCCCGTCGCTCCCGCTTCCGTCTCAGTTCCGCCAGCCGCAGTAGTATGTTACTTCCCCCGCAATCTGATAATATGTTCTAGTTAGCACGCAAATACTGATGATCTAAAGCAGATCAGAACATGATATTTCTCAGCCATCCTCCCCAACGTGCGACTTCATCACCACCACCACCACCACCGATTCCCAGTCATGCGAGCGCGGCAGCGATACCCCGACCGCAACGCGCAAGATACGATAACTATGAACAACATCGCGAGTTGATGCGACGCGCCTTGATCTACTGAGGATGTGAATACATTGGAAATATGTGTGTAGGCAAACTGCGATACAGCACAGGAAGCAACTTGTGGGCCAGGCAGGTACTGTACACCAGTTGCACAGCAGGGATAGCGTATACAAAAGAACATGCATTGCGGAGTTGCACCACGTTAACATGCAACTCCTGGGTGTTGTTTCTTTTTGTGAGTGTTTCTTGAACGATTTAGCGTACTTGTTTATTTCCAAGTTGCGTAGAGTAATGTCAATCTAACCATGCCGGGACGCACGGTGTAACGGGACGCTTTCTGTTCCGGACTCTCGGAGTGCCTCTAATGGTCTTAAATACAGACAAGTGCAATGCGTATCTATTCTACAGCTCTCGTTCCCTTAGCACGTTAGTCTCCGACGCTGGAAAACGCGTTATTAACTATGCTATCGCTCGTTCCGTTAACGTGGTCCCCGACTCTCCTCTAATGCTCCCCTGTTTATTCGAGACAATATATATCTGCAAGAAGCTCGGTAAGCTAAGAAATAAGCTAAGATAGTAAAGATTAAGATCGTAGCCTTAAAAGGTCGACTTAGGGTAGCATTAATACATCCTAGCAGTTTCTCCGCGCAGACGGCAAACTCGTGAAAACGGATCGCACAGGACGTGCGCGAACGGTGGTACTTAGCATGCAGTAGCGTATAGTAGCGTGCTTAAATATCTATGTGCCTGCCCCGCGCTCTGTGGCTGAGAACTGCAGCTTTGAGCACTCCGCCCTATGAAGCTCTTATTCCCGACTTTGCAGGCAGCCGTTGGTCCAGTCGTGTAACAAGAAAGTATCTTTACGTCTACACGACCTGCATTCCTACGCACCTTTCCTCGTTGACATCAGTATCGTGAGAAGCTATAATAGCAGTTTTAGTAAAACAATTCTTCCGCTAGCGCCTGCCTATGTACGCAGTAATCCAGCGCAAGTTCTGAAGCGGCGCAGCGCAGGATGCTCGATGTGCACAGCATCCGCTCAGCCTGGTCGCATGCACTGCCTCCACAGGCAGCCTTCACAGCAGCGCAGCGTGAGCTTCCTCTGACTGCCTCGCTCTGTCGCGACTATGTCTTCCTACTCTCGACACATCTAGCGTCGTTCGTGCCTCGCTGTCTCTAGACTAAGTTAAGATTGCAAACGCCATGCGGCTTCTCCACTACGACGCGCTGCGAAGGCTTGTCTTAACAGACTTCCATAGCAAGACGATCCCGCCCTACGCTATTCTGTCGCACAGATGGAGCGACTCCGAGATTCTTATCGAAGACATATTAAACGAGACCTACAAGGAGAAGGAAGAAGGCTATCGAAAGCTCCAGTTTTGCGCTAAACGAGCGGCCCAGGACGAGCTGCAGTACTTCTGGATCGACACATGCTGCATCGACAGGTGGAATAACAATGAGCGCTCCAAAGCGATTAACTCGATGTTTCGGTGGTACAAGAACGCGGCGCGGTGCTACGTCTTCTTGTCAGACGTGTCAGCGTCGTCTGCAACAGAGCCGGTCCAACGCAGCGACTGGGAGGCGTCGTTCCGTGCAAGCACATGGTTCGCTCGGGGATGGACGCTCCAAGAGCTAATCGCACCAGTGTCAGTCGACTTCTTCTCGTGTGAGGGACAACACATAGGCGACAAAACGTCGCTCGACCAGCTTATCCACGAGACCACTGGCATCCCGCTCCGAGCATTGCGCAACTGCTCCTTGGACAAGTTCACTACATCTGAGCGAGAGAGATGGGCTGAAAACCGCAGAACAAAGGAAGAGGAAGATATTGTATACTGCCTGCTTGGGATTCTTGGCGTCTCTATGCCCACCGTGTATGGTGAAGGAGAAGAGAGCGCACGAAGCAGACTGCAGGCTGAACTGAAGGGAGCTAGCGACGCACTGTCAATTATTCCGTTCTCACGAAACCCCCGCTTCGTAGGCCGAGAGCCGCAGCTCGCCGAGCTAGAAGCGAAACTCTTTAGCAACAACCAGACCACTACCACGCTAGCGATCGTTGGCCCTGGTGGAATAGGCAAGTCCCAGCTTGCGCTTGAGGTCACACACAGAACAAGACAGAACAGCAAGGACTGCTCAGTCTTTTGGATCGATGCTAGCAACAAAGATAGCCTCTATCAGTCGTACGCAGACGTTGCACAGAAGCTTAATGTTCTGGGCTGGAACGACGACCAAGCCGACATGAAGCAGCTTATGAAACGCTGTGTAGCGAAGATGAGTGCGCGGCAATGCTTGCTAATCTTCGACAACGTAGAGTACACCACTCTGCGATTCAACGGCTCGTCTACGATAGAGGCTGCAGCCTTAGCCGACTGCCTGCCGCAGTCTACGCTATGTTCTGTCATCTTCACAACAACGAACACGAACACAGCTCAGGCGCTTGCTTCACAGAACATTACAGCACTGCGCGAGCTGAAACCGGATGCGGCGCTGAGGATGCTGCAAGTCCGCTTGGCGAGACCACTCGCAGATACTGAGCAGCAGGAAGCCGAGCACCTGCTCAGAGAGCTATCTTGTCTCCCTCTAGTAGTCGTCCAAGTAGCGGCCTGTATGAAGGCTATTAATATAACGGTGCAAGAGTATCGATCACGGCTAGATTATCATGAAGGACTAGCTATCGACCATAGCGATGATTCGTCCGAGGGTCGAGTACAAGATTCTGGCATGAAAGACCCTATCTCTGCTACACTGTTTCTGTCTTTAAACCAGATCAGTCGCGACAATAAGTTTGCTGTAGACTGTCTATTTCTTGCTGCATGCGTAGACCGAAAGGACATCTTGCTTGACCTTATAGAAGCAACTTCAGCACAAACAAGAGAAGATGCCATTAGGGTACTTGACAAGTATGCGCTCATCACTAGGCGACCTGCCGAGTCCGCGTTCGATGTTCATCGACTGGTCCACCAAGCTCTACGCAAGCGGCTGCAAGTGCAGGGGCAGCTTATACAGCGGAATCGAAGCACGATCATACAGCTGCTGCGAGTGTCTCCAGACAGCAATCATAGTAACAGAAGTAAGTGGAGACGACTACTTCCGCATGTGCAGTATACTCTGTCGCATAGTTCAGCGGATGATGACGACGAAGAAAGACTATGGCTTGTATCAAAATGTGCTGCGACTCTGTATAGTGAGGGACGATGGGAGGAGGCCGAAGAGCTGGAGGTGCAAGTGATGGAGACAAGGAAGAGAGTGCTTACCGACGAGCATCCTCACACGCTGATGAGCATGGGCAACCTNGCGGNGACGTACAGNANCCAAGGGCGGTGGAAGGAAGCCGAAAAGCTGGAGGTGCAAGTAATGGAGNCGATGAAGAGAGTGCTTACCGACGAGCATCCTCACACGCTGATGAGCATGGGCAACCTNGCGGNGACGTACAGNANCCAAGGGCGGTGGAAGGAAGCCGAAAAGCTGGAGGTGCAAGTAATGGAGNCGATGAAGAGAGTGCTTACCGACGAGCATCCTCACACGCTGATGAGCATGGGCAACCTNGCGGNGACGTACAGNANCCAAGGGCGGTGGAAGGAAGCCGAAAAGCTGGAGGTGCAAGTAATGGAGNCGATGAAGAGAGTGCTTACCGACGAGCATCCTCACACGCTGATGAGCATGGGCAACCTAGCGGCGACGTACAGGAACCAAGGGCGGTGGAAGGAAGCCGAAGAGCTGCAGGTGCAAGTGATGGAGACGATGAAGAGAGTGCTTACCGATGAGCATCCTCACACGCTGATGAGCATGCACAATCTCGCCTTCACGTTGCAGTCACAAGCCCGTCACGAAGAAGCTCTTGCACTGATAGAAAGATGCTTCCAGCTGCGTGAGCTGATTCTTGGCAAGGAACACCCTGATACACAGTCTTCGTTCAACATGCTAAGTAACTGGCGGCCGGAGAGTGAGTATATTTGTAGGAGACAACTTTGGTATATTACCATGATCTGTAAATCGTAAAGTCGGGTGCTGCAGCCGCTATCCGGAAATAAGAGCTTAGCTTTCTAGCCACAGCACGCGGGACATCTCTGCACGCTACTGCACGCTACTGCATGCTAAGAGCCACTAACTGTACACGACCAGCTGGACGCGTTTTGACGATCTCACTGTTTACGCGGAGAAACTGTTAGAATCAGCTTTTTCTATCTTTAATTAACCTTCTAACGCTATAGTTTTCATCTTTGTTAATTTAGCTTGCGTTGTAGCCTATTAAGCTCCTTATAGATATGTACTGTCGCGAATAGACAGGGGGGTATTAGAGAAGAGCTAGGGACAGCGTTGACAGAACGAGCGACAGCACGGTTAACGACGTGCTTCTCGGCGTTAGAGATCGATGTACCAGGAGAACAAGAGCTATAAAGAAGATGCATACTACACATGTTTATATTTAATAACATTAGGAACTACCCGAGGGTCCGGAAGAAAAAGTGTCCCGTTACACCGTGCGTCCCGGCACGCGTGGATCGACATTACTTTAACTTTGATACTTTTTACTTCTACAAAAGTTTATTAGAGAAGATTATAACAACTCCCAAAAGCACGAGTAACAACATGTTCGCGATAGGAACAGGCTGGATTGTGGCCTTCAACAAGACATCAAAATATACGCGTGAGATGAAGTGATCACATGGAGCAGCAGCTTGACTAGCATGGTGCTATTCATTCTAAAGTCATGACTCTATTACAAAAATGATATAGCACTTGGTCGTGCATATTACATAACAACAGAAGACTTCTGCACCGCAGAGCGTCTCATCTCAGAATCTCCCCCATTTATACCTAACAACTTCAGCTGGTCCAAGATTTAGGCACGGAAGGCAATTGTCCTCCTCGCGTTGCGCCTCATGCCTGAAGCCTTCTGCTGTTGAGCGCCAGCAGCAGCCTCAGCATCGGCGGCAGCTCCAGCGTTGGCGGCAGCGCCCATGCCAGCGTCTTTGCCAGCCTGAGCATCAGCGGCAGCTCCAGCGTCGGCGGCAGCCCCAGCACCCATGCCGGCGTCTTTGCCAGCCTGAGCAGCAGCGTCAGCACCCTTGCCCTTGCCCTTGCCAGCTTGAGCGTCGGCGCCCATACCAGCGTCGGCTCCAGCTCCAGCTTGTGCATCAGCGGCAGCTCCAGCACCCATACCAGCGTCTTTGCCAGCCTGAGCAGCAGCGTCAGCATCCTTGCCCTTGCCCTTGCCCTTACCGGCCTGGGCGTCGGCACCCATACCAGCGTCGGCTCCAGCTTGTGCATCAGCGGCAGCACCAGCATCCATACCAGCACCCCTATCGGCTCCATCTTGAGCGTTGGCACCTGCGTCTTGATTAGCACCATGTCGGACTCTTCTGGAACTCAGTAGTACATACCGTTGCCCTTGCCGTTGTTCTTGCCATTGTTCTTGCCATGACCCTTGCCCTTACCCTTACCCTTGCCGTTGTTACCGCCAGCGCCAGCTGTAGCATCTAGGCTTGTCAGTATCTAGAATCGTTGCTAGAGGAGACGACACTTACTTCCTGCTTGAGCAGCTCCACCGGCAGCAGCGTCTTGCATTCCCTTAGCCAACTCCGCTTGCTGGTTAGCAGCATCTTGGGCAGCCTGGTCAGCACCAATGTTGCAGCTGTTCTGCTGTTCAGCAGCGGCCTGGTCGGCGGCGGCTTGGTCAGCGGCGGCTTGGTCGTTAGCAGCTCCCTTTTGCTTCTCCTTTTGAGCGGCCTGCTGGTCGGCAGCAGCTTGGTCGGCGGCGGCTTGGTCGGCAGCAGCACCCTTGTGCTTCTCCATTTGAGCCGCCTCTTGTTCAGCAGCGGCTTGGTCGGCAGCAGCTTGGTCGGCAGCAGCACC